AGGATGAGGAGGAGGACCAGTGCAAAGCCAAGAATCATCAATGATGTCGGAGTAAACCCACCCTCCAAGCTCCCTCTTCATAGGCCCCCAGAAGGGTTTATTTCCATTGATGGAGCCGCCTCGCCGGAAGGCACCAGTTTGAAGACCCTGAAGCATGCCAAAACATTGTTCTCGGGATTCCAGCGCCATGTATCAACCTGACTGTTGCGTTTTGATGATGCTGAGTCGTGCCAGAACGCCATTCCTGGGATTTCAACACAGAGAATCAACGTAACTGTTGCACCCGCATAATCCTGAATCTTTCCCAAACACCATTTCTGTTACGTTGATGATGGGAATCCGTGAAACTCTTGCGAATGCTTCAAACGAAGGTGCGCGGCGCTAAAACGAGAGCCACATTTTGAAAAGGAGCCGCCCTCAATCCGTGAAACTCTTGTAATTTTCTTAAAAGAATGTGCGCGGCGCTAAGGCGAGAGTCACACTTTGAAAACCACTCGCCTTCAATCCGTGAAACTCTAGTAACTGTTTAAAGCGAATGTGCACTGCGCGAAGGCAAGAGCCACATTTTGAAACCCACCCGCCCCCAATCCGTGAAACCCTTGCAACTTTGTTAAACGAATGTGCGCCGCGCTAAGGCGAGAGACACATTTTGAAAACCACCCGTCTTCCATCTGTGAGACTGTTTCCAAGGTTTAAATTTCAGAGTCATAAGCGGTGCCGAAGTCTCAGGCGGAACGCCCGTCCCGCCCTAAAAGCTTGGCCTCGGGGTGCGGCAGGGAGAACTGATGTAGAAGGGCAAGGGATGGAGGCGGTGGAGGAGGAGGCGGAGGAGCAGGAGGTGGAGGAGGAGGCGGAGGAGGAGGAGGAGGAGGAGGAGGAGGAGGAGGAGGAGGACGAGGAGGAGGAGGCGCGTGCGCGCCACCAGCGCTCCCAGCAGTGCCCCCGCCCCCCCGGCTCGAGCCAGGCCCCCGCCCCCCCAGGCCTGCCGAATTCGGGCGCCCCGCGCCCGGCGACCGCCCCGCGGCGGGGGAGAGCCATGTCGCGGCGGCCGGGGGCGCTGCCCCCCGTGGCGGCAGAGGTGCCCCAGCCCTGGGCCACCCGGGGTTACGTCGGGTCTGTCCCCCTACAGGAGGATTTTCGACGAGAAATACACGAATACCACCGAAATAGTCCAAACATAGTTCAAACATAGTCTGGGGACTATTTTTTGAATATTGTTTGACCTTTTTGGGGTATCTTTGGGGTATTTTTTTGCGTCCGTCGAAAATCCCCCTGTAGGGGGACACGCCCGACATAACACCAGGGGGGGGGAAACGGGGGGAGGAGCCCAGGCCCTCTCGCGTCGTGCAGAAATCAGGAGGAGAGAAAAACACACAGACACAAGTCATCGTCGATTCCCAGGAAAAGATGTAGGAAAATATGAGAAGTGGGTGGGAGGACAAAAGCCCAGGAAATATGCGACAATATGGGGAATCCTGCTATTTGTGTGTATGTATTTGTGTGTCCCAGGGCCCCTTCAAGAAGGTACGGCGGGAGGTCTCCTTCAGCGTCCTCTCCGCCCCTAGGGGGCCCCGCGCCGGGCCTCGGGGGCGTCGGGAAAAACGACTCGGGGCGGGGGGCTCGCGGAGGGAGGAGGGTCGTCCCACGACGGGGCCGGGGAGGGGGCCCAGGTGGGTGCTCTCGTTTCACGCGATTCCTTCTTCCAGGGAGCGCTCGGACAGAGTTTCCTTCAATCCCACTGCCCCAACTCCACCCACCTTTGGTGCCCCCCCCCGATTGGGAGGAGCAACTGGTCCCTGGGGAAGGGGTCCAGACCTCGGGGGGCCGACGTTGTGAAAAGATCACGACGTCGGGGGTCTGGGAGCGGAGGGAGCAGGAGGGAGGGTGCGTCCAGGAGGAGAGGGGTGGGGGGAGGAGGAGGGGGGGTGCGTCCAGGAGGAGGAGTGGAGGGAGGAGGCGGGGAGGAGGGAGGGAGGAGGGAGGAGCAGAAGGAGGGAGAAGAGAGGGGGGAGGAGGGGGGCAGGAAGGAGAGGAGGAGGTGGGAGGAGGGAGGATAAGGAGCGAGGAGGGATAGCAGCATTTCTGATCTGACGCGGCGATCTCCTCGGGGCATGTTCGGGTCATTCCCCTTCCGAGTGGTTCTCTGCGGGGTAGCGCCGCCTCCAGGGTATGCACCGTCGCTCCCGCCTTGCTCCCGCTTACTGTCGGGAGCTTTGGCTCCGTGTGCCGCGCTGCCGGTTCTGGCCCACCACGCTTCGGCGCGACACGCTGGCCACGCCCCAGCCCCCGGAGCGCCACCGCCCCGAGCCTTTTCCAGCCTCCCGATCCCGCGGAGCGGAGCCGCCCGCTTTCCGCCCGCAGGGCATGGCGCGTCGCCGGAGTCGTCGCCGCGACGCGCTGAGCAGCATATCCTGATGGCAGAGCCGTCCATGGGAGCGAGCGCGGTCTCTCGCCTTCTCTGGTCTGTTCCTCGGCGTCTCGTTTCCCGTTGCCGCGAGGATGCTGCGCAAGCGAAAAGGGATGGAGGAGGTACCATAGTCAACCCTTGATGCACCAACGACGTCACGATGTTGCAACGCCCCCCGTCTCAAGTTCAATCATAGGTCCCTGCAGGCATGCCCTTCCACCATGGGGCGCCCCCCCTGGAGGGGGATTGCCCCATTTCCCCACTGCTTTCAAGTTTTCGAGCTCCATAATGTGTCAATCGGAATGACAGTAACATGGCTGGCAAATCCAGCGACACAGTTTGTTCCTTTCTCGCAGCGATCGGGGGGGAGTCGGCTCAGGGGGAACGCATCGACCCCCAATCGCCCATTGATCGTTGATAGGGCTTTGATAGCTCCGCCCCGCCTGGGAAAGTTCGGACTCGAGAGTACTGGGTGCCGATCGCCGATATATTTGGGATGTATCGCCGATTCCCGGTCGACGTTCCTCCCCCTATCGTTGCCCCTCACAGTTGCCTTGTCGTGGGGTTTGACGAAGTCTCAATCGACAATCCCATGTTGAAGAACAGCAGCCCCCCATCCAGCGGCCTTGTGGGAAGTTTTCTAAGCAGATCCCGAAGACACGGAACACTCCTCAGAAGGCGCGAAGGTTTCTGAGAAGTCTTGCCGCCTTCTGAGAAGTCTTGCCCCCTTTCACTTCCGCCCGGGGCTCGCCGCCGAGATGCCTCTTGCCAGCCTGGAACACAGATCCCTATCTCTATGATTGGCACAGCCCTACCTCGACGCCGATCTTGAGAATTCCCTCAGTTTCTGAGGTTGCCTTTGGCGTGTCAAGCGTAAGGATAGAGATGATAAGTTCGAGGCCGGTACTCTCAATCGCGAGCCCCATGATAAAGAGATCAGCCGCCCTCCATCCGCGGCAGCTGCCGCACGCCCTGGTGTAAGTGCCAGAGTAAACGCAATATTGACCAGCGATGCTGCGATACACCCTCTCGTCTCAAGTCCTTTCCTCATGTGTCCCTGCAAGCATCACTTTCAATTCGCAGCGCGCCATTGAACGACAAACGACCAATCGGCCTGCAATTTAGGCGGGGGTCTGTCCTGAAGTGACATTTTTTGGAGCTTTAGTGATGCGACGAGTTGGTGTCATAAGTTCTAAGGAAATGCCCAGCGACAAACCTGCTTTGAACAGGAGCCACCATGTATCCGCGCACGTGCTGCAGAATGCTAATATTGTGGTCGTCGACTTGAAAGAAACATCACGCGAGGGCCCCATTCTCAGAAGGAGCCGCCCTTCATCCGTGTGATTGTCACATATTGTTATCCAAGCGTTAACAAGTTCGGTGGAATGCTCAGGCGAGAGTCCCATTTTGAACGTGCTTCGCTCTCCATCCTTGTAGTTGTTTGGAATTTCACGCTTCAGAACTGTACGTTGCGAGGAAGTCTTGATCTCAGAAGACGTGTGGTTGTGCGAGTTGGAGAAGGTATTTATTAGGAGGATGGATGGAGAGAAGAGAATGACGGAGGAGGGGGAATGATAATGAGGATCCAGGTTGTTGTATGTGGTAGGCTCTCTTTCCGCCAGAGGCCTTTGGTGATCTCTGGGGTTTTCCAGAGGAGGTTTTTTGTATGGTTTGGTATTTCGAGGTTCTGGCAAGCCTCGCTCGTCGCCACGGCAGGTTCGCCGCCTAAGCTTTTGCCAGAGTGCACCGTGGGGACTTGGGAGATCGTCTTTGACGAGGAGGAGGGGGAGGAGCACGAGGAGTAGGAGGAGGAGGAGGAGGAGGAGGAGGAAGAGGAGGAGGAGGAGGAGGAGGGGGGAGAGGAGGTGGACACGGAGGCGGAGGAGGAGGCGACGGATTCGGAAGTGGACGCGATGTTGATGATGATGCTGATGATGATGATGCTGATGATGATGATGCTGCTGATGCTGATGCTGATGGTGCTGATGATTATGATGGTGATGATGATGATGCTGATGCTGATGATGCTGATGATGATGTTGATGATGATGCTGATGATGCTGATGATGATGCTGCTGCTGATGATGATGATGATTGCTGCTGCTGCTGCTGCTGATGATGATGATGACGACGACGATGATGATGATGATGATGATGATGATAATGATGATGATGATGATGATGATGATAATGATGATGCTGATGATGATGAGGATGAGGATGAGGATGAGGATGAGGATGAGGATGCTGCTGCTGCTGCTGATGATGATGATGATGATGGTGGTGGTGGTGGTGGTGATGATGATGATGATGATGATGATGATGAGATGATGATGATGATGATGATGATGATGATGATGATGATGATGATGATGATGATGATGATGATGATGATGATGATGATGATGATGATGATGATGATGATGATGATGATGATGATGATGATGATGATGATGATGATGATGATGATGATGATGATGATGAGGAGGAGGAGGAGGAGGGAGGAGGAGGAGGAGGAGGGGGAGGACCTTCCTCCCTTCCCCCCCTGCCTCGAGGGTCCTCCCTGCCCCCCCCTTTCCTTTGGGCGCCGCAGGTGCAGCGACTCCGCTCCCTGCTGCCCTCGGCCAAGGCCAGCCGGGCGGGGCGGCGTTCCCCGAGGGCTTCTCCTCTGCGGCCGGCTGGGGGCCGCTTCCTTCAGTCTGTCTAGGCCTTCTCCTCCTCCTCCTCCTCCTCTTCCTCCTCCTCCTTTTCCTCCTCCTCCTCCTCCTCCTCCCCCTCCTCCTCCTCCTCCTCCTGCCTGTCTTTAGGTCGGTCAGTATGGTTTAACAGATCCACATCCCCATCCCCAACCCCATCCCGAGCCCCACCATTCCACCCCAGTTTGGGACATACCCTCGAAGCTCGAAGGGAGCAGCCTGTATCCCCATCTCAGGAGGGCAAGTCGGCCAGCGGGGCCCAGGCCGCGCCAGTGGGGATTGTGATCCTTTGCAAGATGCATACATCTGCTCGGCGTAGATGGGGCCGGAGGATCGCGTCGCATCGCGGATGCATCGGCGATGCAGCTCGATGTGTAGCCCGATTCTCTTCACGCCGACTTCGCCGATGCATCGCTGACGTCGCCGATGCGATGCATCGCCGATGCATCGGCCACGCGGCGCGATCCTCTGACCCCATCTACTCGGACCCCATCTCGGAGGCCTCTATTCAGTCAAGGTTTATGATGTTCTTATCTGCTTTAGCCTTGACCGCCAGAAAGAATTTCGAGCACCTGGGAAGTACCGAAACTGGAGAGTTTTCACGTGTCGGGCCCGGGGAGGCGATACTCGCTCGACACCGTTGCGATGCTTTCCTGGGTGCTCGAACTTGTCTCTGGTATGTGGTCCTTAAGTGCGATGGGAACAACTCAGGAGGGGAAAAACACACACACACACAGACAATTAATCGTCGATTCCCAGCAAAATATGGGAAAATATGGGAAGTGGGGGGGAAGACAAGAGCCCAGAAGATAGGGGGAATCTTTTTATTCGTGTGTATTTCTCTGTGTGTCCCAGGGCCCCTTCAACAACACAAGGCGAGGCTCCGAGACAAGAACCACTCTGGGCTCAGGAGGGGCTCCGGTCGTTGGGCCGGTCCTCAGCTCTGGGTCGGGGGCCCTCCTCGTGGCGCGGAGGCCCTCGCCGTGGCCAGAAGAGCCCCGCCATGCCCTGTGTGGCGTTCGGCATCGAGCGCTGGATGACAGCAGCGAGCGCGGCGTCGTCATCGGCTCGTCGTCGCCCGGGGTGGATCCGCAGGCTTCGGGCGGATCGGTTTCTTCAGTGCCAGCGTTTTGTCTTCGCTTCGGCCTTTTGGGAACAGTCTCGGGCCCCAGAGCTGCAACACGTGGAGCCGGAGCGCAAGTTTGTCCCCAGGGAGGTGGTCGAGACCTTTGGAGCTGCGGATGGGAAACGTCACATCGTCGGATGTTTGGGGTCGGAGTCGGGGCCGGGATCGGAGTCGCAGGAGGAAGAGGAGGAGGAGGAGGAGGAGGAGGAGGAGGAGGAGGAATGGGAGGAGGAGGAGGAGGAGGAGGAGGAGGAGGAGGAGGAGGAAGGCGAGGGATGAGGGCAACCTAGGTGCGCTCGCGCCACGTCTGACATCCTGCTCCGCCCTCCCGTCCCTTTTTTCGTTTGCGCTGATGTCTGTCTGTCCGCCAACGGGTGTCATACCGGACCTGGGAACACCCAAATGGGCTCGGGAGCCTCGAGACGGGGGTCAGTGCAGACGGGGGTCAGCCAGAGCGCCGGATCTTGCAGGATCCTGCAGCGCCAGGGTCGCATTGACCCGGGTTTGGGTGCAGGATCCTGCAGGATCCTGCAGGATCTTTCGCATTGACCCGGGTTTGGGTGCAGGATCTTGCAGGATCTTGCAGGCCTGATTGACCCGGGTTTGGATTGACCCGGGTCAGAAGATCGCCGATGGGCCCCATCGTGTTACGCGCAATTTGAAAGAGGGGAGCTGTGTACATTAGAGTAGGAGGATGTGACGGATCAGCAGGAGAATGAGCGGAGAGGAAGGCGAGAATGATGAGGGAGGAGGAGGAGGAGGAGGACGAGGACGAATTGCAAAATGAGGAACAATAATGATGGGGAGGGAGGGAGTTGGAAGGAGGGGTAGGATGATGGGAGAGGAGGAGATTGAGGAGGAGGGATGATGACGATGATGATGATGATGATGATGATGATGATGATGATGATGATGATGAGGATGACGATGACTTGGAAGCTGCTGATGCTGATGATGGTGATGCTGCTGCTGATGCTGATGGTGATGCCGCTGATACTGACGCTGATGCGACTGCTGTCGTCGATCATGCAAAGGACGGTGATACTGAGGATGCTGATGACGTGGATGATGATGATGATGATGATGATGATGATGATGATGATGATGATGATGATGATGATGATGACAATGACGATGACGATGATGCTGATGATGATGATGATGATGAGGTGATGATGACGATGATGCTGATGATGCTGATGGTGCTGATGATGCTGCTGCTGATGATGCTGGTGATGATGCTGCGGACGATGATGATTGTGAAGGGATGA